TTTTTTTTTTGTTCTTTTGCTAACAATTCCTTTGACAGCTTAAAATGTTTACTCATTGAAAGTGTCAAAAAAAAAGCAGAAGAAAAAGTTGCAAAGATGTTACAGTAAAAAAATGTGCAAAACAAAAAAAGTATACTTTATTTTTCTGTTTACTGCATTCTGTATTTTGTTTCATTTGTGTTTTACGCAATAAACCAAATATTACCATTAATTAATTATTGTCGTCACAAAAGAAAAAAGTTGCATTTTTCTTTCTTGTTTTAAGCTTTTTTTTCCCCTTTACTGATATCACTTTTTTCGTCTTCTTTCTCCTTCTTCTTCTTCTTCTTCTTCTTCTTCTTCTTCTTCTCTTTTGTCCATTAAATGCATTGAGTAGCAAACAAAAAAAAGAAAAAACAAGAAAAGAAGAGTTTTTTTGCTTTTATTTTTGTGATGTTTATTGACCTTTTTGTTACTGATGCTTTTTTTTTTTCTGCTTACTTTACACCTAAATTCAATTGTCTTTTTTCCTCGTTAATTTCTTCAGATAGAACGATGAATGAAAGAGAAAAGAAGGAGGAGAGGGCTAGGAAGCAGCGATTTAGTTGCTGTTATCCAAAATTATGGGATTCTATATTCGTTGTTGCTAACACCAGATAATTTAGAAGAGTCAAAATTTTCAAACTTTGAATGTTTGGTTTCGGATACCAAACCCCTTTATAAGTACAGTGCGATATACGAAATTGTCGATTATTTGACAATTGTTTGGGCAACAAATTACTATGATGAAAAAAATTGCTGTACCGATGTGATGATGTTGGTGGAACTAAGGAGCTGATTATTACCATTTCAAAAACTTAGGCAACTTAAAATCTCCTTTTTTTTGGCTCGTCTTATCTGGTTTTTTCCTTTTCTTTTCCCAAAGTTTTTCTTTTTTATTGGATAGGTTTATGTAAATTTTCTGTGTTTAAAAAGAGGGATAAGTTTATGTAAATTTTCTGTGTTTTTGAAAAGTGAACGTTTTTTTGAAGCCAATACAAACTTTTACTTTTCTCGACTCATTATTTTTTTTTTGCTGTTGCTGTTGTTTTGTTTTATTTCTTTTTTGTTTGACAATACATTCAAATGCATGGAAAAAAAATTTGTTATAGAAACAACAATAATAAGCATAACAAAAAAAAAAATAGTTTCAAATTCATTTAAATTGCAGAATTAAATCACTTTTGAAAAGCTTTTATGGTTTTCTTGTTAATTTTTTTTTTTTTTTTACTGTTTAAGCGAATTTGACTGTTTTTTTTTTTCAGCCACTAAACAACTGGAATTTTTTTTTCTTGTTTGTATAAGAAAAAACCAGAAAAACTGAAGAAAAGACGAGTGGAAAAAGCGATAAGCATCAAAACG